AATTAATTATTTTTATTTATTTAAAATTATTAATATTAAATATATTATTTCTTTAATAATACATAAAAATTATATAAAAAATGATATAAAAAATTATTTTATGCTATCACCCATACAAGAAAATATTAAAGCCACACAAAAGTAAAAAATTTTTGTTGCAAGGACTATTTTGCCCCTGTCATGGCCAAAATCATCTAGGACTGGGCGTCGGCCGGTTTTGGTTGTAAACGCAATCGACTTAAAGGTTAACCACATAATCGGTTTTTAAAATATAACAACCGTTAATCGTATTAAATTATTACGGTTTTTTAATATTTGTTTATTTTTATTTTATAATTCTCGGTGTTGGTTACGATTTTACCGGACTTAATACTTAGCATTTTTAGCCTTGTTTCCAAATTTTATTAGCAAAATTTCTTATTGAAATCAATAATAATCTCATATTACAAACTTAAATTTGATGCTCAAAACAAATTTAAGCTAAAAACTTACTGTTGAATTTACTAATTGATGCTTTTCACTATTAATCTCCATGTTAAGATAATCACACTACATTTTAGATAAAAAAATAAAATTAACGCAAATAAATATTATCATCAAAACAAATAAATTCATTTTAAGGTTAAGCTTTTTTAACAAAGAACGACGATTTATTTAAAAAATAAGGGATTGAAATTTAAAATAAAAAATTTCTAAAAATCTTTCAAATTTAATTAAAAAAGAGAAGGGATTTATACCTTTAGTTTTGGGCAATCTGTTAATTGAAAGGAGTGGGTGACAGAATTTATGAAGAGAAAGGGACAACAGGGATTAAGTTGACAATTTCGGTGGCAACCACAAAGTGGGTCACCACCGGCCACCACCATTGTTGATAGATACAAGAAAAAGGGCGAGTAGGAAGTTCCTCCGAAATTGAGAGAACAAAGAAAAAAGAAAGATGAAAATGACTGCTTTGTTGAAGTTTAGGTTAATTTTCATTTTTATACTTAGGTTTTTTTCTAATTGTTAAATTACTAATTTGCCCAAAAAAAATCTAATAAAAAGTGACTAATGCATTCTAGGCACAATTTGGCCGGCAAGATTGGGCGGGCTAACAAGAATTGTCAGGAAAAAAGGTGGGAATGTGGGGAAATGGAAAAAAAAATTATAAAAAAGTAAAAAAAACTTCTAATAAGAAATGACTAATGCATTCTGACTTCTGAACACAATTTGGGCGACAAGATTGGGTGGGATCGCAAGAAACAAGGTGGGATTGTGGGGAAATGGAAAAAAATTTATAGGAAAGAAAAAAAAAAAAAAGGGCCTCGGTTGTTTGGGCCTATTCTTGCGGTTGCCGGTTGTTGGGCTCAAGAGCCAACAACCGCCCACTTGGGCCATCGATTACAACCGCAATTGAGATCCACCTCAACCGATCACAAGAAAAGCCCGATTCACCAGCTACGATTGCGGGCACCAGCTATGATTGCGGGCAGGCACGGGCATTTCTGCGGTTGCGGCCCTAAACGCCCAGCCCTAAAATCATCTACGTGACTACGTCCCTTGCCTTGCTTCCAATGTGGTTAATTGTCGAATGACACCTCCTGCATTGACTTCAATTCCCTCGTCAATGGCAACAAAAATGAAGTGTTGTATAATTTAAAATAAATTAA